AGTTCACAGTCTCTATTTCTTCCTAAGAAAAAGAAGCAATAATACATCAGATTTACAGTATTTAAAATGGTGATTCTAATCACTTAATGCATTTAATCAGAGACAGCACATTTATTTTAGTGATTCCATGTCTTATATGGCAATTTATCTCATTAAACTTAGATCATAAAAATGACTACGTTTGCTCCATGTTCTTCCACTGTGCCAGGTACTAGTGATATGACTAGTTGTGAATACCCACTTTATTTCCGTTCTACAGATCATTCTCACAGAAAACATACTCCTGATCTTGTTTCCAAGATCTCCTTTCTCATGGGAAGCATCATGATCTGCCAGTCCATCTCCAGGGCTCTCCATCCATCCATCTATTCATCCATCCATCCATCCGTCCATCCATCCATCCATCCATCTATTCATTCATCCATCCATCCATCCTTTGTCTGTGTCTGAACATTCATCCATCAAAACACTTGTTAATAACCTAGTATGTAGGAAGGACAATTCCTATGAGGAACAAGGGTGGCCCATGGCCCAAGCTTAAGTAGGATCACAGTCTGTCAGGGAGGGGAAACACACGGTTTAGGAGAAGCCAGAGCATCTGGCAGGGCACTCAGGATATTGGTAGGAATAGAAGTTATGGAAAGCTACTTTGGTGATTTTTTATTTATCATTCTACTGGGTCACCTTCCCTCCTGGTGAGTGTCCACACAAGAATCAGTGGATAGTAACAGTCCTTCTGGCTCAGCTGCTTATTAGATGTGTTACCCAGATTAGTATCCTGTCACTAATTATGCTCCCCAGGTAATCTAGTCCAACCCTCGCTCCCATCCTAGATCTTCTGCACCACACTGCAGCATGGCTTTTCGGTTTAGGCTTTATCTCTTCTCATGATAAATTGGTCACTACATTACCTAACAGTGTATTCCATTATTTGCAGAGCTCTGGGGTATTATAAAATTCTTTATATTGAACCAAGCAGGCAGCTTTCTAAGTTTTTCTTATTTAGCTTCCTTCTAGAATTGCATTTAATTTTTGGAAAGTCATCTGGCCTGTAAGCCACAAGTTTGGGCTATATTCTGCTTAACCTTCTAACCTGCTATGTAGAGTTTGAACTAGTTTCCTCTCTTCGACCCTCAAGTTACCCTCTTCTGAATTGGGACTAGAAGAGAGCAATGATGTTATGACAGAGAACTTCTGTTTTCTTAAATTTAGAACCCTCAAATGTAAAGCAGAGCTGCTCTTGAAGTGGGGAAGACTCAGAAAGTATGGGCTGCTCAGGCCATGAGACCACTTCAATTTCAAGCCACAATGATATAGGGTTCCAGGAGACCCCACTTATACTGTAGACAACAAAAACGATATCCTCTGAAACATAACTCTGGGACAACTCCAGCCATTTCCATGGCCACGATGTGAATGGTGCTCCCTGGAATTGTACAAGAGGAGGCTTTAAACTTTGTGACCCTCTCCTTTCTCAAGGTGTCTCTGAAGTTAGTGAGTTCATAAAACAAGATTGAGAAGTTTCATAGGTTTCTTGCCATCTCATTTTTCTTGACCTAGGAAGAAGGAGATCTGTATTCCCTCAATCTTTGTGAAACCACTGAAATTGTTTCACTTCTTCCCTTCTCAAGACCTAACCCCTTTGGAGGAAAAATCCAGAAGCTGAAAAATATTACTGTGTTAAAGAAAGGTTAAGGATTACTCTTATAAGTACTCTCACTTACCTTAATCAGGAACCTACTGAGAAAGAGCCGCTATGTTTGGGGGCCAGACCTGGGCCAGAAATAGCAGCACCAGTTTGAAAGGCCCAGTCTGAGATGTCCACCTCTTACTTGAAGAAGTGATGAAAGCCAGTTTCCTTCACTCTGCCTTGGTTCTGTGATTTAGGCAAAATACCCAAAGGAACAACTAGCACATGTAGAAGAAAAATTGAAAGCAGCACTGTAATTAGAACTGCTGTGTTCCCTGGAGTGATTAAAAGTTTGGAAATGGAATCATAGAAAGTCAGAAAACTTTTTATATTTCTGAATCCATGTCCCCAAGACCCAATTATTGCTGAAAGCACTCCAAAAAAAGACTTATTATTCTCCTTCCTTTGTTTCTGATGGAACTTTCCACTCCTAGGCCACTGAAGGGCATCCAGGGAAGCATTTCCATGTCCTGGTTGAATTTCTGCAAACTTCAAAATGCTTATCATTCTTGAAAAGAGCAGCTGGGAAGATAAGAATTATTTATAAACTTGCTATGCTTGTGACACATGGAACCAGCAGCTGTGAGCACAATGCTTCTAAACCAAATGTTCAAGGTCATGACTTGGGGAGACTGTCAGCTAGAGCTCCAGAGCTGTGGGGAGACTTCAAGGAGGAGGCAACTTCTGGCCAGACATTGAACACGGAGGATAATTTACAAATAAAGGGATAGGCAAGGGATGGAGGGAAGGGGAAAACCATGTTGGGGACAGAGGTTGGCACAGGTCTTGGGCTTGAATATTTCTTCCACAGCCTTAAGTTGTTTTTTTTGTTTTGTTTTTTAATACATTTTATTGATTTTTTACAGAGAGGAATAGAGAGTTAGAAACATTGATGAGAGAAAAATATCGATCAGCTGCCTCCTGCACACCTCCTACTGGGGATGTGCCCACAACCAAGGTGCATGACCTTGACCAGAATTGAACCTGGGACCCTTCATTCTGTAGGCCAACGCTCTATCTACTGAGCAAACCTGGTTAGGGCTCAAGGTGTGTGCGTGTGTGCGTGTGTGTGTTTAACTTCATAGACTAGAAGGTATTGAACACAGTCCAAGGAGGCCATTCTATTGATATGTTGGTAGAATCTGGAATGTGGAGGCAGCCTTTACGATGGCCCCAGTGATTCTTGCCTATTGGGATTTATGGCTTTGTGTAATTTCCTTCCCATTAGTGACTTGCTTTTAACCAGAAGACTACACTCTCTTTCTGAGTTCGATGAAGCAAATAGCCAGATTGGAGAGACCCATTTGGCAAGGAACTGAGAGAAGTTACTGAGCAACAGACAATGTAGAACTGAGGTCCTCCGACCAATAACCCTCAAGGCACTGAATTTCACCAATGTCCATGTTAATAAGCTTGGAAGTAAACCTTTCCCAGTCAAACCTTCAGATGAGATCCCAGCCCTAACCAACATTTTGATAGCAGTCCTGTGAAAGACCCTGTAGCAGAGAACCTAGATAATATGTGCTCAGGTCTACATAATCTGTATAAGATATACATAAACCATAATCCATATGATGTTATAATTTCAGCTTTAAATGCTCATGTAAATGTTGAAGAAATTAAAAGAAAAAGAGTTTTTTTATTTACTCCCATATCTACAATATCCAATGTTCTTCTTTCCTTCTTAAAAAACTGAGTTTCCATTTGATATAATAAGTTTTCAACATGAAAAACTTTTATATTCTTGTTATACAGATCTGCTGGAAAAAATACTCTTAGTTTTTATTTATCTAAAAGAACCATCCTTTTGTATTCATTCTTAAATATTTTTTTGCCATTTATAAAATGGTTTATTTTCTTTTTTAATATTCTTTAAATGTTTTCCACTATATTCTAGCTTATTGTTTTTCCGATGAAAAGCTACCAGTCATTCAAATCTGCTTTTAAGATTTTCTCTTTATTTTTCCTTTTCAGCAGTTTAATTATGGTGTGTCTATGCTATATTTTATTCTTTTTATTTTTGTGTATTATAAAATTTTCTGGTTTTTTTGTTTGTTTTTTAATTTGCATTGTTATGTCTTTCACCACTTCTGGGATATTTTTCTCTATTATTTTTGAAATATTTCTCTGCTTCATTCTTTCTTTCTTTTTGTTTTCTGTGATTCAAATTTATATGTTAGACCATTTTTTTAAATATATTTTATTGATTTTGTACAGAGATAAAGGGAGAGAGATAGAGAGCCAGAAACATCGATGAGAGAGAGTCATCGATCAGCTGCCTCTTGCACACCTCCTACTGGGGATATGCCTGCAACCAAGGTACATGCCCTTGACCGGAATCAAACCCGGGACCCTTCAGTCCCCAAGCCGACGCTCTATCCATTGAGCCAAACCGGTCCCGGCTGTTAGACCATTTTTATGGTCCCAAAGTTCACAAAGACTCATTTGTTTCAATCTTTTATCTCTGTTTTTCAGATTGAATACAATTTATTGGTCTATTTTGCTGAATTTTCCTTCTGTAACCTCCAATAATTTGAAAGCCCCGTTTGTATTTTTAATTTGAATATTTCCATTTTTAGTTCTAGAATTTTCATGTTATCCTTTTTTACTTTCCCTATTTTCCTATATATTCATACAGTATGATTATATTTTTCTTTGCCTTCTGGAGCAAAGTTATACTGGCTTGAATTATTTTTTTCTCTTTGCAGAGATTAGATTAGTTGGGGTAGAAATAGATATGCTCCATGTACGGCAAGAGGCATTTCCCAAAATTGGCTCTAGGATATTAAAACAGGAAATAATTAAACTGGAAACACTCTGAGCTCCTACAGTCAAAGAGCCATTAAATAGTGTCATTTGGCACGCCTTATGTTGGTAACTTTCCAAAATGCAGATTGGATTTTTAGTTTGGACATCACTTAACTAGTAACTTTTCCTCATTGCATGCTCCCCAATACACAATAGAGCAGAGAACAGCATGATTGGCAAATACAAATCCTGTACGTGAACTAAGAAAGAAGTATAATTTTTTTTTACAAAGTTGTAATTTTATTGCTTATTTTTTCAGAATCAAAATAAATTTTAAACATCACTTATTCTTGGTTCTACACAACTTAGCACAACCCCCTCTTCATTCTAGATAGTTGATGTTGCATTGTTCATCACTCAGGAAAAGTCCCGTCCTGATTGTACATTGTTTGGGCATTGTTTGTGATAAAACCGAGCAAGTCTGTACTTATCACGTGGTCATTTCTGAGGGGACCCCCTGTGTGCACAGAATCACAAGACCCTGTACGGCTTCCTCCTATTATCACCGGGGGAAGCATTTCTGGCTCGCTAGGTTTTTCATGGCGACCTTCACATCCTTGTTCCTCAGGCTGTAGATGATGGGGTTGAGCATGGGAGTCAGCACTCCGTAAAAGAGAGAGATGAGCTTGTCTGAAACATCCTGCTTGTCTTCCCCCAGTGGGTCCTTTGCTTTGGGTTTTGCGTACATAAAAAGAATAGTCCCGTAGAAGATGACCACCACCGTGAGATGCGAAGAACAGGTAGAGAAAGCCTTCCGCTGGCCCTCGGCGGAGGGGATCCTCAGGATGGTGGTGAGGATGAAGATGTAGGAGACAAATATGAACAGAACTGGGACCCCCAGGAAGATCACATTGGCCACCCCCATACTGACCACATTGATGGAGATGTCAGCACAGGCCAACTTCAAGACAGCCAGGATCTCACAGGTGAAATGGTTGATGACATTGTCCCCACAGAAGGGCAATTGTACTGCGAGGGAGATCTGCACCACAGAGTTGACTCCACCGGCCAGCCAGGAGCTGGCAGCCATGGGCACGTAGGCAGCCTTGCTCATGACCACGGGGTACCTCAGGGGGTTGCAGATGGCCACGTAGCGGTCAAACGCCATCATGCCCAGAAGCACACACTCCGTGGCCCCCATGGCAAAGGAGAGAAACATCTGCACGGCGCAGGCCGAGAAGGAGATGGTCTTCCTGGGGGTGAGGAAGCCGTCCAGGACTAGAGGGATGGAGGAGGTTGTGTAGCAGATGTCCAGGAAGGAGAGGTTCCCCAGGAAGAAGTACATGGGGGTGTGCAGGTGGGGGTCAGAGATGGTCACCAGGATGAGGACCCCGTTGCCCAGCAGGATCACCAGGTACATCAGGAGGATGAGCACAAAGAACGTCTTCTCCAGCTCCGGCTGATCCGAAAGCCCCAGCAAGACAAATTCTGCCACCATTGATTGGTTGGCCACTTCCATTGTAAATTCTCTCTTCTGCCTTCAGGAAAACTGAGAACAGCAAACACATACGTATAGTGATCCATAATGCGGATTATAATGAGATGCTTCCAGCAATTATAATTAAATGTACCCATCGACACACCAGTTTGTAATATCAGTGTCTAAGGAACAAAACTCACTGTCTGCTAAATTTACCTCAAATCTCAGGCTATAGCCCATCAAAATCAGGTAAGGGACAGCCTGGTCATCTAATCACACCATGATATATGAAAGAATTTTAGCTGGCTCAATAGTGTTAACTATTTCCTCACTTTGTCAGGCAGTGAAGAAAGGAATGCATAAGGATAAATCTACAGGAAGACCGTAAAACAGAAACCCACAGGGTCAGCCCTGCCTTTCCCCAAACTGTTCCTCCAGTGTCCTGGAAGGTTGTCAGATCCAGCGATGCTGACCACTGACTTCACCTCACTGCCCTGGTTCTAATTCTGTGCGTGTGTGATAATTTTTCTGGTGGTAATTTGGCTCCCCCTGGAGTCCTGTACAAAAGGAATGTGATGACTAGGGTCTGCCTAGCACTCACGTTTGTTACTCGATGCCTGGTTCATACTTCATTTCTTATGTTTGGTGCTCTCCCTTCAAGACACTGTCAATAAGGAGTTTCTGGCTGGTAGACTATGGAGACCCTAACAGAACCACGTCCACATCCCCCCTCTCGACCCATGCCTCTGTCCCCAGCACTGCACTTTCCTCAGTCTACTCCGGCCCTGGGGGTTGGGGAGCTGGAAAAGAATCCAAGGACAAGTGTCCTATGTGCCTCCCACTGTGAGCATCTGTGACATTGTGAGCAGGCTCTATGCTTCTGGAGCTGTTTTATGTCAGGACTCCAAGCTCAGACCCTTCTCAACGCCACAGTGATGCTTTCTCCACAGGGAAGCAGGCAGTTCTACCCTAAGGAGGCCCTGCACATAGGATGTCCTTCCATCACTACAGAATGGTCCTCTACATTAGAGAAAAGCACAAGCCTTGACTGTTCATGTTAAAGTGAGGAAACGACATCAGAGAGGTCACAGGCAGTGCAGACAGGGCCAGCCACAGAGCCTGGTTCCCGACCTTCTCCCCAGGGCTCCTCCCTCCCTCCCCACCCTGATTGTATTCTGGCTCCTCCAGTTGTGCCAGAGCAGGTTTACGGAGAAGCAGAGGAGCAATGAGGAAGTCGTGGTCCTCCTCACTCTCCCTAGGACGCTCATGAGAGAGACAGATGTCACACCTTTCTCCGAAGTATCTGCCTCGAAGCAGGGCTTGTGGGGGGGGTGGGGGGGCACCTGTCTCTGGGCTTCACACATTGCATCTGTGACTATTACACTGTTGCTGTTTGGGGGTGATTGAATAGGAGAAACTATTAGCCACTGGGAAACTGTTCTCATGCAATTTTCAGAGATTAACTGTGGAAACTGGAAATACGTAGGGAAAAGAAATCTGTTTTTAGAGATATTAATAATATTGACTGGAGATTCGCAGTCTGGGCAGGAATGCTGTAAAACAACTAGCCTTGCCTCCTTCACCGCCCTTGTATCAACACCTTCTATGAAACAATTTTCCCATTCCTGCTTCGAAGATCTGGAGTTTTGTGAGTTCATGCTTCCCATTCCTGTCAGGCAGGCTTGATTGTTGGAACGTGTCCCCTACTTTAAGGAGACGCTTCCTTCCTCTCATGTCCTCCCCACGCCTCACTCTGTCTGCCCCCACACAGGTCTAGGCTCCCAGGACGTGCCTGCTCCCTTCCCCTAGAAAAACCCTTCAGACGGAAGCTGTGGCCAAGTCTCCCTCACAACCACCTCCTCTATTCCTACCACCTGCCTGCAGGAGCTTCTCTTCCTCCTACCGACCTGCAGAAGCTTCTCTTCCTCCCACCTGCCTGCAGGAGCTTCTCTTCCTCCCACCTGCCTGCAGGAGCTTTGGCCACCGAGAGAACTCCGTGCGGGGATGAGTCATGGCAGGGACAGGAGCTCACCTGGATAGAGGCCTCATGGCAGGGAGGATGCTGGAGGGCCCTGGGCTTGGGAGGTGGTTTGCTTCAGCTGCTCTGCTTGACCGTCCCTGGGACAGCGCTACCTGCTGGGGCTGTGCCTGGAAGCAAACCCTGCCTAGTTGTCTTGAGGCTCGGCAGTCCCTGCACTCACACAGCCAGGTGAGGGCAGTTTAGGGTTGCTGTAGGTGAAGGAGCTCTGGCTGCTCCCTTTCAGGGGCCCCCGCCATGCCCAGCCAGCGAACAAGAGGAAGGACAGGCTGAGGACCTGCTTCCTCGGGGTCCTGGCAGCCATGCCCAGTCTGTATGCACAGGGCAGACACCCCTGCTCTTTGCCCCTCGCCCTCTCCCCAGAGGCTCTGTCCCGGAGCAATTTAGAGCTCTGGTTGTTTGGGGCCAGTCTTAATCCCAGAAGCAATTTAAAGTTTGGTGATAGTCCTCACAGGAGTTTAGGGCTTGTGTCCTGTAAACCCAATTAGATAAGAGTCAGACAGTTCTGTGTAAGTCCTCTCACTACAAAGAAATATTCCTTAGCCCAGCTGCGGTGGCTCAGTGGTTGAGCATCAACCTATGAACCAGGATGTGACAGTTTGATTCCCGGTCAGGGCATGTGCCCTGCTGATAGGCTTGGTCCCCACTGCGGGGTGCGCAGAAGGCAGCCGATTAATGATTCTCTCTCATTGCTGTTTCTCTCTGTCTCTCCCTCTCCCTTCCCCTCTGAAATCAATAAAATACAATTTAAAAAACAAAGGAATGTCTTTGCAGACATTCCTGGTAGTACAGGGATAGCTAAGGTCTGGATGTGCTTTGACCACAATGGTGTCTGTTAGCGGGGCTCTGTACTTGTTTTGCAAGGCTAAGTGTCAAAGCGAGAGGCGGGAGGTTTGCCTTTTTCCTGAGCAAGCTGGCCCTCCCCGCAGCTCCTCCACACTGTCCCTCCAGAGCTGCCCAGGCCTGGCCTCTGCCCTTAAAAACAGGAAGCATGAGACACGGGCCAAGGGCCGGCACCACGCACTAGAAGGAGAGCAGCAATGACAAGGGCAGGTGACAGCTACAGTCTGTGGGTGATTGCCGAGTGCCCCTAGGTTATATGGGAGCCGAGAAGCACTGAAGAGTCAGGTGGGAGGCCAGAGGGGAGAGTGTGAGGGCACCAAGGTGAGAGGCCTGTCAGGAGAAGAAATGATCAGGCTTAGGGACAGGTCAGGATTAAAGAAAAAGTCTGAACGGAGGGCAGGAGTCCAAAACCAAGAGCAGAAAAGCAAAAAGAAAAAAGATAACCCAGCATTCACACATCAGACGTTACAGCCTCACTCCTCCACTTAGTGCTTGCTGCGTCAGTGGTCTCTCTTCCACGAAGAGGCAAAGCTTTGACCCCATTGCTTTCCATGGAGAAACTTCTCCCTTCTGCCTCTTCCCCTTTCCCTCTTCAGGGAAGTCTTATTTCTTGATTTTATAGCATTTGATTCTAGTCCTGGTTTTATCTCAAAAATAGTGGTGGTTATTTTCCGCCTTCACAGAGAGTGTGATTCCTGATTCCTGATGGAGCAAGGTCAAAACCCTTCGACCAGGGGTCTGGTTCAGTCCTTGTGAATTCTGAAGGGTGTCATGTCCACCTTCCTCCTCGGGGAGCCACAGCAAGCAGATGCTGCCCCGGGAAATGCTGGTGCTGCTGGGATTCACCACGCCTCTGGTCCGCTCCCCTCATCTTTGGCAAACTCACTTGTACGCTGACAAAAACTCACATACATGGAATAAGAAGTTTTCTGACACACAAAGCTCTTCTGGCTGGTCTGTCTGAGGCTTCCCTAGGCAGTGAGGAGAAATGAGGAGAAGCGTTTTCAGCAACGCCCGAAATCTCAGTGCTCTGAGACCCCTTGCCCTGGGTTAGTGAGAAGCCTAGCCCAATGCTGGTCAAGTAAGATGGACACACAGAATTGGCATCGCCTGGATCATGTTAATAATGCAGGTTCTGCCCTGACGGGTGTGGCTCAGTGGATAGAGCGTCGGCCTGTGGACTAAAGGGTCCCGGGTTCGATTCCGGTCAAGGGCATGTACCTTGGTTGCGGGCACATCCCCAGTAGGGGTGTGCAGGAGGAGGCTGATCGATGTTTCTCTCTCATCGATGTTTCTAACTCTCTCTCTCCCTTCCTCTCTGTAAAAAATCAATAAAGTATGTATTTTAAAAAAATAATAATAATGCAGGTTCTTGGGCCCCTCCCTGGACCTACTGAATCACATCCCTGCGGGGGTGGGGGGCGTCTATTTCAGGCTGTGTTTTGACGAGTCCTCCCAATGATTCCATTGCAGAAGCACTGGGCTATCTAGACTTTTCCTAGGATTGGGGTCCCATTGAATCCTTAAGAATCTAGGAGGGAGGGTGTTCTTTGATGAATGATCTGAACAGCTGCCTATAATTTATCTGCTCTGAAGTTAGCTGCTTTTTCAGTCCTTGCTTGCTCCTAAACCCTGATCCTTGACCTTTGACTGTCCAAACCCTGCTGACCTCTTCTGGGTCACTGGTCTCTGGGAACTTCCTCTCTTGCCAGCAGGAAACCTCCTTGGAAACAGAGTAACAGAGTAGATGTAATACCTACAGGTCAAGGAAAACCTGTAGATATTACAAACTTGCATTGGGAGAGGGGTCTCACACAGTCTCCCATGAGAGGTTTAGATCTGTATCTAGAGATGCACACTGTGCTCCAAACTGAATTCATCTTATTCCCAACAACCAACAAGTTGGTCAATATTCCCTGCTTTTGTGGTGTCACTATCATCCACCCATCATCTGAGCTACAAATATTGACTCGACTCTCTTTTCCGGCTGCCGTATCCAACCAAATGTTAATGTTGTATTGTGTACCTACCAAATACTTCTTAAATATCCCTGTCTTCACCACCCTTCAGCCACTTCTCCAATTAACGTCCTTATCTTCACTTTTGAAAAGTGTTTCCCTGTCTCTTTAGCCTTTGTCCTCCCGTCCCCAATCTTTCCCCCACATTGTGCCCAGAAGGATCAGCCTCAGATGCAAATCTGA